AAACTATTGTTTTTTTTGTTTTTTTTTTTTTTGAAAGGAAACTATTCTTTGTTTTTGTCCTGTAATTCGTATTTTGGCTGTAATTTGTATTTTGGCCAATTTTGAAAGATAATGCCAATTCATTTCTATTCATCCATTTCTAAGATGAACTGAATGGGTTGCTTTTTGGTAATTATAAATATTTTAGTATCCTTATATATTTCGCTTATATATATCCTTATATATATATTATATTTTTTTATAGTTTTTATATACACTAAACATGATGGTAGTTGTATTAGTCTTAGAACTTCATATAAATGACTGTTAACTGATTAAGTTCGATGACTCTTAATATAATTCTTTAGGAACATCTTGGTTTGTTGCCGGAACAAAAAAGAAAACCACCGAAAAGGGAAATTGATGTAGATGATCCTGTCGCTGATTCGTTTTTTGTTGGTACATGGGGAGCTATTGCAAAGAAGAATACGGAAATATTTGAAAAAGTATGAACTTTTCATCATGGGAGTATTTTAAATTGCATCAGATTTATTTAATCATATTGGTGTTTTGGTATTCAAAACTGTAATACGTTCGAGTATTACAGTATCCTAAAATAGTTTTTTAACAAGTTTGTTATTTGTGCTAGGTACAGATTCCATCTAAAAGAGGTGATTGATTTTAAAATTTTGCAGGTTTTCAATGTTATTCCAACAGACAAACTAAGAGATTTCGTGGAAGTTCAAATGCATGTTGCAAAGATACCGTTAAGTGAAACTGTGCCACAGGTTGCCGAAGAATATCTTCGAGATTTGATTGGTAATCTTGTGGAATTTCCACTAAATTTCCTTGCTAATGCCAACCTTGCACCCGGCTTTGCATCCAAAGAAGGTATTGTACCATCATCGGTTTTCACATGATTCATGCAGTTTTATTTTATTTCAATTTCTAATTTGAATTGTTGCTGTTAAATATATTACTTCCTATTTTTTGATCCAAAAAGGATAAACAGCAGCTTACATTTTATCGTTGCGATTATTTATGCTTTTGTTTCACTTTCATTTTTATTCATAGCTTTTTCTGCATATTCATTTTTTTTCAAAATTTGAATATTTTTTTGTTCTTAGATTTGTTATTTTTATTCATTTTTCGCATTCCTTTTTTCTTTTGAAACTAAAAGGAATCAGGATTCACCAGCGTCCAACACGATATATTTCTTAGGCCTCATACATTTATGGCTTTGATAAATTTCCGGTTTTAACGAACTTTCAAATTCTCATTTTCCGTTGAAATATTAAAATGTAATTCCTTTGGCTTAATATTTGCTTCTTTGTGCTGTTGCTCTCACTGTGATCTTCTCTTTTGCAAATTTCGAATTATGCAATTTTCTTTCCTTGTTTTCCTTAAACATTGCTTTCAAATTTTCGTTCGAATCGAGCCTCAAGTTTCTATGTTTCTTCAATCATTTGCAGCGTATGAAATTTATCAAGTTTGCTTCATAATATCATTGCTTTAATCTGTGTTCATTTGAGTTTATCTTTATTTGGTGATATTTCTGCTTTTTTCCTTTGACTTAACTAATATTCGGCGGTCTCAATTGTATACAATTTCTATTTCTGGTAATTTACTTCAAGTATTCAATTGTAAGCAACTTAGTTTTGATTTAAGTCGTTTCAAACTTGGCAGATTGTATTTCTATTCCGTTACTTTTCTCTTGATACTTGTTTGTCTCATTATTAATTGTATTAAATTTATTGTGTAAAAATTGTTTCTTATGTTTAAATTTTTCTTTTTTTGACTTAACATTTTCTGTGAAAGTAAATCCAGAAAGAGCTATCTGACAAATACTTCCTTCCTTGTAACGTTAAGCATATTAGGATTTATATGAGCTGCTCGAACTAGATTTAGGCAAATTACTTGATCCAGGCCAGGAAGATAGCCCATGTGACTGTTGCATTTTGTGGAAGAGAGCTATTGTGCATTTCAAATGTGCTTATTTACGAAGCAATTAATAGAAATAGTTGAATTTAACTGAATTTATCCCATATAGGCAACATCGCTATCCGTTAATTTTTGCTAGCTAAGAGAAAGTATAGGCTTACTTTCCGTTTATTTCCTTGATTTCGCTAATTGCGCAGAGTTATGAAATGTTTTTTTATTTGCTTAACATAAGAGGAAATAATGTGACATCCAATTAAAGGGCCGATTGGTATCGCTCATAAAAACGAGAGCTGTTGTGCAATTTGAAGGGTCACTTTTTTATGTGAAACCATCAAAATGGGTTCAACTCCTGGTGGAATGGAAGGTTGGTAATTGTGATTACTGTATTGTTAATATTCCCAAATTGAGAGGGAAGAGGTCATGTAGTATTTAAGGTTTCTGGAAGTAAAACATAAATTCATACAAAGGTTTTGCTGTGTCAGAATCTTGAGAACACGAGAAACTTTAACAAAGAAAAAAGAAAAAGCTATTCTGTAAGCAAATTGAAAATAACATTCATGTAGGTCTGGCACTTATTCCACTGATAAAATTATAAGCTTGCTTATAAAAACATTATCAAACACGGAATAAGAAGAAAAACCAAGTTAATCTAAAATCGAAAGAAGAAAGTGACATGGAAGGATTAGGAGTAATAGACAATATGACCATAACGTGCTTATGCTGTGCATGTTGCACATCACCCTTATAAAATTTTACAATAGTTTCGGAACTTTGACTAAGTTTGATCAGTTTTTACACTTCCAATCTACATAGGGATAAGTAATTTCAGAAATAGTATGATGTATTTAGAAGTCTTCAAGCGTTACTGCTTTTAAATTCTCACATTCTCGACTTGAAGAAGTTAGTGAGAGGAGAATCAATGATGGGTATTATTTTGGATTTCGATAAGGATTTTGGACAAAAGTCTTTTGTAGCTTTGAAAGATTCAATTAGGATTCTCAAATGTTACACTAAAGGAATTATCGTAAGTAACCTTAATCATTTCAGGTAATTTCCCGCCACCACCGACAGAGTTACCATCATTTTACATACAGCAAAAACAGACAGCGTTTATTCCACCGGTACCACCACAACTACATCCTCCATTAGAGTCACTTGCAACAACTCTTTCTTGTCCCGATGCACCATTAACCACATTTCCACCTCTTCCTCCATCTACCTTTCCTCCTGTGTCCTCTACCGTTACACTGCCGTCGACACAGCTCTTAGTATCATCAACACCGGTAATTCAACCATCTCCACCCTCCTCCTTTACGCAATCCTCTGCGGCTCCCGTCGTGGAACAGTCTCTGGTAATAGTTCCACCAGAAAGTCATAATATTGCTGTTGCTGCTACAAATATACCGGTAACTGTTCACCAAACAGTATCTTCAACACCAATACTGCCATCGATGGTTGCACCATCTGCACAAGTGATGATTCCAATGAATGCACAAGAAATGGAACAAACAAAATCAGAAAGAAATGATGAACCGAAACAAATGGGTGTATTGCATTGGTTTCAGCAAACTGTGCAACAGTCAGAATTCTTATCTAAAATGGCTAACAAAGCTAAGGTTTGTTGATATTGTTGAAAACAAAGATTAAAATGAAATGAAAATGGAGTAATCAAGCAAGAGGACAAAAGTCATACCATTAAAAACTTTCTTAAAATAAGATCAATTTAACTAAGGTATGATCTTAGTAATTTTGCCAGTTTTACTAAAATATGACTGTTGTAAAATTCATCATTTTATAGCTGCACAAGATTGTAAATAGTTTATCCTATCTAAAATTTGTTACAAATAGCTAAAAGTAACACATATTATTCTTCATGCTTGCTTTATTAAACCGTTCCTGCCAACTTTATTTGATATTACTACTCATACTGATTTATTCTTGTTGAATTTGATGAATTGGCATTAAATTGAAATGAATAAAAGTGATGAAATTTTAGGTAGGAATGGATTCGGTATTAACAGTACTGGATCCTGGGATGCGAGATTTCCTGAATGGTAACGATGTGCTGCATGCTATTGTACTATGTTACGCTAGTAACCAGATTGTTGATGCTGTTAGGCATGGCCTACGTCAAACATTTAGTGAAATAATATTTAACGAAATACCTAAAGAAGCAGAACTTAATACTAACATTCAGATTGTTGGATATAATTCGGCTTGGAAGGTTAGTCATCGATTTTGATGTTAAATTCTGGAATATTCTATGCTTGTCTGATCAACAATTAAAGCAAATGCAATTACCCAAGATAAGTAACTTTTCATTACCAACTTTTTGTTCACTTTTATGTGAAGTATATTACAGATTTTTTTGTAAATTGCATTTTGCAGAAAGTAAAGGAGCGTTTAGCTAATCTTCGAAATAATAATACTGTTAGTCCGGAGATAACTTTATTCGTTATACAGCCGTTTTTATATCAAGTTGATGATTGTTGGTTTGATACTGCTCTGCTACTAGCTCAGGTGATTACTTTTTTTCGGCCAGATAAAATCCTGTTTAAGGTATGAATTTTCAATGTTTTCCCATCTCAACAAGGTATTTCCTTTATAAATTGAAAATAGATTTTTCATAAAATTTTGTTGTTAGGTAAATTGGCTTTTCCGATTTTTACCAACTTATTTTAATGCTAATTTTAGAGCAGTACTTTTTTAAAGTAAGTGTTTCATTGCAGAAAGGAGACGTTGAAGTTAGTGTTTTTATACAGGCAACACAAGTTGATGCTGATGTAATCGCTACACTTCAGGTACTGTTGGTATTTTTTTTTTTTGATAGAACATTTGCACTGCTGACTGGATAAATTCTTTATCATCTCTTCCATTAATTTCGAAATAATTTAAGATTTCGCGTCATACGTGAAATTTTCGCCGCTTATGATAGAACTGGCTGATTTCTTCCTGATCTTTTTATATTCTGGATTTCTTAGTTCCAGTATAATACTTGCAGTATCAAATAAGTCATTTCTTTACGCCCATCATAATGAATAGAGCATTCTTGCTTTTACAATAGTAAGAAAGGTATTTTTAGGGTTTGCAGTCTTTTTTAATAAGTTCTTCGCCATTTGGAGAAGAGTGAGACAGTGGACCAATAAAGTGGAATAAATTAGTTGAGCTCAAATAAAACTAGCTTTTGCTATTAATTTATTTAAATATTTTCACATAACTTTACAGAACAAATTTATCTTTTTCTTTTCTTTTTTTACAGAAACATACACCAAAGGGATACGCAAGTGATGCATTTGCCACCACAGTTGGTTATGCATATGCGGAAGTATATGGCGGTGATTCAGATGACTGGCAAAGAACTCTCCTTTCATTTTCTTCAGCTGAACTCTATCGAGCAGCATCCATTGCGCTTGCAACAAATTTAAAGCGGATTTTGTCGATGAGAAATTCTAGACCTTGATAATAAATTCATGATTTCTTTGGTATTATGATTTAATTTTTGCTAATTGAGTAAAAAGTTCAAACTGTATTTTATATAATTCTTCCAATGATTACAATATGGATCATTTCTATTGCTGTGATTTATCGACTTTTATATTTTAGTAATTGGAATATTATTTGATTCTTTCGTGCTTATTTGTAATCCTCAATTTTTTCCTGTTTATACATAATCCTGAAATTGAGGTTCAAAACTTCACAAATGTTATGCAATTCAAAAAGTTTGGAAGTTCACAATTAATAATAATGGATAAAACGCTGAATTTTGCAATAATTCATGTGCTAAAATACCTAAATAATTTTAATTTCTAAATTTCTGTAAACAATTCTCTTCGACTGCTACAGTTGTAATATCATGCTGCAATATATGTTTGATTTTTTTTTTTTAGTAAGTCCATAATTTTCATCAAGAAGAGAAATGTATTGTAAAATGATGAAGTATGGCTGTTCTTCCGGAATAAAAAATTTCATAATAAAAAGAAATAATTTCACAAAAAGATTATTTTATAATGAAAGATTAGTAACACAAAGAAGTAAAAATAAAATATGAAATATAAACCAGTATTTTATCCCATTTAGTGTGATAATTAAATTTTATCCGTCTTCATTTGATTGATAATGAAAATTCTATTAGGGATACAAATATACAATAATCCTGCTAGCATGAGAGAAAATATTGCAAGTAAATTTTAGGCACAAGAAATGAAATGTCATATCACGAAATTATTCTCATTTTCATCTATATTAAGTTTCGAATTTTTGCAAAAAAGAAAAAAGCCTTAAATAAATTTTAAGGATAATTTAATAAAATTACAAAATTCGACAATTTTGAATTAAGCATATCCTAACAAAATTGTATAACTTCTCATATTTCTTTTTGTTTTGTTTTTAAATCTGCATTAAATGAAAATTAATTAATGAATAAATTTAAAACTTTTATCAGTGATAAAATTTTAATAAATGTAAAGGATAGGATGATATTATGTAAAGGATAGGATGATATTATCATTTTGATGATATTGATATGTATATAATTTGGATATTTTGTGAGGAAAAAATAAAATGCTCAATTTTTTTTTTTTTTATTTTTTTTA